CTTCAAACACATTCGCGATCAACCCCCTCAACTCCTGTCTCTTATACACATCTAGATGTGTATAAGAGACAGCTGCTTGGTTTTCGAAGTCTGTGTGTGTGCATGCTCCCTGGTACGTGTGTGTGTCTGAGTACTTGTCCGCCTGACTGTGTGTGTCGCCCGCCAGGGCAATGGTTTATTAGGGAGGCCCGTGAGGCCGGTACTTACCTGTGGCCGTGACTTTGCAGGTTGCAGCGTGGAAAAACACTGTAGTGCCTGAAGGGGGGCTTAGGGCACACTCAAGTACCGTACTTGGGAGAGGAGCACTGACACTACAGCACTAGGGTTACGGGGGTCATGCTGCCTGAGGAGGCGCGGCGACTTCCTGGCCGCTTGGCCTCCCAAGGATCCCTCGTCCATTCAGAGGGAAACATCATTGCAGGTTTGACATCGTATGATCAGGCCCTGGACTCAGGGTTCTTGGACTGGCGCTGGCTTACCTAGCCGTACTGGTGCCTCTGCCTCTGAAAATCGTAACTATTCCTCTTCTTCTGCTAGGCCTGCCCCTGCTTGAGTGGTACCGGCCTGATGTACCCGCTACTTGAGTGACCCTAAGCTACCCTTCTGGCCACTTGAGTGTTTCCCTGCTGCAACCCTCAAAAGTCACGGCCATGGGTAAGTACTGGCCCCGTGTGCCTCTCAAACACACGAGTACCCTGGCGGGCCACACACACACTCACACAGACGTGCACTCGCACATGCACTTAGAAACCAGCAAACACATTCACACACAAACTTCCAAACGTCAGCAAAAAAACTGGAATTATAACACATGTTACAGCGGAAAACACTCGGAAATTAGTAAGGTTCTCAGTCCGTTTCGCGCATGTTTTTCTGACTGCATTTGACAATATGCATTGTCATGCATGTTCTCTGCTTTTTGCTTGTGTTCAATTTAACACTGCCTAATGACATGAGTTGTCTTGTTGATCTGTGGGATGTGCTTGGGTGCTATATGCAGTTTTTGCGTTGGGTCTTCTGCACAGCGTGTGATGACCGGACCGGGTGGCGAGTATCGCAAACACCCCGCAAGAGTTGTGGGGGATGCGTGGGCAACGTCCACTGGTACTGCTGAGTTGTCGAGTTTCATGACCGCACCAGCCTTGTCTCCAACAAATAGTATGGGTCACTCAGAACTTCTCCACGCTCCACCTGCCTCAATCAGAGCCACCCGAACTCCCATGCCTCTGCCAGGACGGTCGGGTCTCCACAATCCGTGGGTGCATACTTTCCCCCACCTCCCCAGTCCATTTCACACCGCCACTCCCAACCGACCCTGCATTCCATTCACTTCAGCCCTCTCGCTGCAATTTCCGCCTGCCTCACAACCATATGGGGGTCACCATGGTATACAGATGCCCCCTCTCGCTGCAATTCCATACCCCGTCCATGCTCATGACCCGACCGGCGACTGTTGCCTCCTCTACATCCACCACACCACCCGCGTCGTTCCCGATGCAACAAGATTTCCAACCGTCATACAATGTCATGCATCAATTCCACACCACACATCCAAATGAACCCTACTCCGACCATTCAATTCACCACAATGCTTATGCCATTCTTCACACTATGCCATCCGCAATGACGCCCTCACATCCTCTGACACTCCGTTTGACACCTCATAGACCACCCGCTTCTATTTAATCCAGAGGGCAGTCAGTTGCATATTGCAGCATCCCATAGTGCTTCCGCCACCGGGGTCCACGGTCTCATACACGGGCAGGACACAGCTTGTCCGATTCCTGTGGGTGCCGGATTGGGCAGTCCCGTACACGAGCAGTGCACAGCAGGTCCGATTCCTGTGGATTACGCCATGGATGAGCCGGCTGTCGAGGAATTAGAAGACCTTGCATGATTGCGTCCATTTATGGATTTCAGAGACTCCACAGACATCGGAGATGGTTCTTTTCGGGCAGCTGAATTTCCACAGACTGGGCCGTCCACAAGGACCGGGACACATAACAGGCGCACAGTGTATACGGCCATACGAATATGGGCCATACGAACTCTCGTACGACCCCCGGCCCCCGGTACGGGCCATACGTACGGACTTTGGGCCCTCCGTGCACGGCCTTCCGGAGGGGTGTTGAGGTGGTGGATGGGTCGGGGGGGATCGGATGTCGGGGGGTACCCCC